AGAGAGAGAGAGAGAGAGAGAGAGAGAGAGAGAGAGAGAGAGAGAGAGCAAACAGGCCGACAGACAGGCAAACAGACAGACAGACACAGAGAGAGAGAGAGAGAGAGAGAGAGAGAGAGAGAGAGAGGCACTGGTGTTGGGGACATCAAGGGATGAAAGAGACAAGGTCCACCATAGCTTCAGGGTTCAGGAATCAGTGGGGTCATGATTGAAGAAGGCAGTTTTATGGTGGTCCGGAGGACGGGATTGCCGTTTGAAGTTTCATCGTTGTTGCAGTAGCCTTGCATAGGCCATTGAAAGGAGTGCGGAGAAGCAAGCCTGTAGATAGAACTTCATAGAAGGAACTGGAAAAGAAAAGAGGGAGCACAATGTTCAAGTTGTTTCTCCCTCTTCTTTCTGCGGACGACTACTCTCTCGCTCCCTCTTCTTCCTCGGGACGACTCCTCTCTCGCCACATGAACTTTGTACTGATTGTCGCGAGAGAGGAGTCGTCCCGAGGAAGAAGAGGGAGAAACAACTTGAACATTGTACTCATTGTTCATTAGTTGCATTTCTTTTTCTTATTTCCTCTCTCTCTCTCTCTCTCTCTCTCTCTCTCTCTCTCTCTCTCTCTCTCTCTCTCTCTCTCTCTCTCTCTCTCTCTCTGTCTGTCTCTCCGCGCACAGTCTTGCCGTTGATTGTTATCTTAATTTGTTTCTTATCATCTGTGACAGTGTGACTACCGTCTTCACCCGAATAGAACGCCCAGTCATCATTCACTGTATCTAGACTGAAAGTTGCACCAAGCCCCAAAATACAGCTATAGGTAGCATTGAGCCATGTAAGTGTTTCTTCTGAAAACACTATTTGTTGGTGAGCTTCTGAAGTTTATTTTTTATTTTTTATTTTTATTTATTTATTTTCACTGCGCTATATTCTTCTCTCAATTTCACCCTTTTTTTTCCCTCTTTATTTTTTTTTTAACTGCGCTATATTCTTCTCTCAATTTCACCTTTCACTATCTACCTACCACTACTCCTAAGCCTATACAGGGGACCCCTGCAAGCACAGCTAAACCCTACTTCACAACATGCATCCCCTTCATTGTGAAGTAGGGTTCATTACACAAATGTCAGTGCCCAAAAAAACACCATAACAAATTCAAACAGTAATTTTTCTTTCTTCTTTTCTTCTTTTCTTCTTTTTTTAATTAAAAAAATCCAGTGTCTGTTTTTTTTCCAATGATGTTAAGGACGAGGCCTCATTTTCAGATTCAGAACTGAACCAAGGGATGGTATTACCCATTTTCACGCGAATACAACGCCCGCCATCACCGCTCTATCTAGACTGAAAGTCGGCCCTTATGCAGCTGCAATCACAGGGCGTTCTATTCAGGTTAGGTGAAGACCGTAACAGTAGTCCACGGGACATCAGGACAGAATTGAACTGCTCTTCCTTCTTTCTTCCATCATCGCCATATCTAGACTGAAAGTCGGCCCTTATACAGCTGCAATCACCGGGCGTTCTATTCAGGTTGGGTGAAGACGGTGAAAGTAGTCCAAGGGACATCAGGACAGAATTGAGCTGCTCTTCCTTCTTTCTTCCTTTCTGGGGATTTGCAGCTAAAGGGCCTCGCTGCACTAGTGGGATGTAGCCCTCGCCTACCGTCTTCCCCCGAACACAACGCACCCTCATTATGGCTGTACCTGACCGGAAAGATGGCTTCCATACATTCACTATCAGCGTGCGTTATGTTCGGGGGAAGACGGTAGGCGAGGGCTACATCCCACTAGCAAAGAGGATTGGATTAAGGGCCTGAATGTGGAATCCGATGTGTTTATTGAAGAGATGCAGAAAAATAGATCAATCGCCAATTTATGCACCTACCCCAAAAACACGTCTAGATTCACTGACAGGTGTTACATCCAATCCTCTTTTCTATTGGGACCCATCCCCCTGTTGTCGCCTGGCTCGTTCTCCCGCTGTTCTGCTTCGCTGTTTTTCCTTTGTGAAGGGGCACCTGGGCTGGTTCTTGGGCCCAAGTCCCACTAGCAGCCTTGAGTTTCCACAAAGCCTGAATCTGGATGTGTTTCTGGAGATGTGCAGTTGAGGAAAGAACACACTATTTATGTACCTCTCCACAAACACGTCCAGATCCAGGCGTTGAGAAAACTCAATGCTACTAGTGGGACTTGGCCTCCTGGTTCCCGGACATAATGAAAGGTGACACAGAAAAAAAAAAAAAAAAAAAAAAGACCTCCTCACTGTTCAACACAAAAACGAAAACCCTTCCACGATTTAAAAACAAAAAAAAACAGAACTTCCACGATTGGTTTCTTAACAATAATTCTTTTTTCAATTGCTGATGGATTACCCTTGGCCAAACAGCCCCATTTATTTCAAAAAATAAAAATGATATTGAAATTTAAAAGCCTCGAAAAATAAAATAATAATAAAGAGCCTGCTGGTAATGGATTGACAGTTCTGAAGCTGGATAACATCTCCTCTCTTTTCCCTCTTCATTTCCTTCCCTCCTCCCCGCACTTCCTCCTTCCCCCCGTACCTCTTCCCCCCTCCCCCTCCCTCCTCATGAGGCCGCAAAAT